AATAGATATAGTACAAGGCTATATTTGAATGATTTTAAGACAAAAAAGATTTCCAAAATAATTTTAAGCTCATAGAAGTCCTTCCCATTTTGTCCCCCAAATACGTCCACCTTTTGTATTCACTTTCCAAAGCCTGCAGGAGGACTTGAATTAAGAGAACATAAAACTTTGGGAGGGAAACAGGTGAATACACAAGGTGATGACTGAGGTCAGGAGTCAGAAAGTATGAAAGATCCTAAAAGGACCCGGAGGTCAAAACCTAATTGGAGTCGGAAAAGGAAGGCATAAAGTGCATTCAGAATAATCCACTTTCAGTGGTCCTTAGTAAATGTATTATTTTCTTTTTCTTTTTAATCTCAGACTTAAGTTTGGGAGCTGTCCTTTTATTTCCCATTGATGATAAACAGTCAAGAAACAAAGGGCAAGATTTGGTGAGTAAAAACAAAAGAAAACTCTACTGGAATTAAAGTTTGCTTTGTATCAGTGTCTTTTGAAACTTCTCCTTCCCACACTGGTGTTCCTAGTATTATGGTAGTTTACTGCCGTATCAGAGAGCAACAGGCTAGGAAGCTTAAACCATAGAAAGATATTTTTCTTATAGTTCTGGAGGCTGCAAGTTCAGGATCAGAGTGTCAGGAGGTTTGGTTTCTTCTAAGGTCTCTCTCTGTGGCTTGCAGATCCGCACACCATCTTTCCTTTGTGTATTTGTATTCCTGGTCTTTCTGTGTCGAAATTTCCTCTTTTTAAAAGAACACAAATCAGATTGTATTCAGTCCCACCATAATAGCCTCATTTTAATGGAATAATCTCTATAAAAACCCTTTGGTTTGTTGTTTTATTTTTTTGAGATGGTCTCACTATGTAGTTAAGACTGATCTGGAACTCACTGCGCAGCCCAGGCTGGTCTCCAACTCATAGTGGTCCTCCTGCTGCTGCCACCCGAATGCTGGGATTAAAGGCATGTGCCGCTATGCCTGGCTCTTTTTTGTTTTATTTTGTTTTAACCCTTTGGAAATGTAGTCACAGTCCAGGGTACTGGGGATTAGAGCATCAATATATGAATACAGTTCAGCCCATAAAGAAGTGGAGCCCCACATTTCATGTCACTGCCCTGGTCCGTTACAGTCCCTCAAACACTGTCCTCTACTCTTTCCTCCTGTCTTCTGGCCTAACCAGCAGGCCCTCCATGTATAGAGAATCTTCCTCTGTCTTGATCCTTAGTATCCCATACAGTTCTGGCTCAGAGACGCTCGGTGAACATTCACTGACTGAGTAAGAAAACATGACTGAAACTCTGGGGCATTCAGTCATCATTCATTGCATGAAAATTTCTGTAGAAAATTGTGTTTCTAGCCAGCCATATGCATAGGAGTAGAGCCAACCCACACTTTCTCTGCTCGTATCAAACTCTTCATTTTTCATATTAAGTATCTCTTGTTTGTCCTTTGGAATTCTGGAAGTTTGCTTTGCAAGGCCTGAATTCATGTTTGAATTTTGTGCCATATTTTATGGATGTGGAAAAGAAATTTAGGCTGAAATGGGTTCATTCTCTTGAGGCTGGTGGTCTGTGTGGCTTATAACAAAGGGGTTCCTGTTTAGTCATTCAGTAATTTCTAAAATGCTAAAAAAAAAAAAAAAATGGGAACACTAGTGTCTGTGCAAAAGAATCTGAGTCGAGTGACTCAAGAAAGCTGTGTACAGGCTATTGTACACCATGTCTAGGATGTGACTACAGGGAGGTTGGTCCCGGAAGTGCCCTTGCTTCTCTCCAGCTCTACCCAGGTAGGGTAGGGTGGGAAGTATGGCACTTTGTCCTCACCGGGGTGAAGGGGGTGGGGAGTGTTTGTATAGAGATGGAGCTGACTCAAGTGTCAATTAGAAGGCTAGAATAGGGCCGAGCACTTAGTGCCTCACAAGTGCAAGGTCCCCAGTTTGATCTCTGGTACTTAAAGAAAGAAAGAAGCCTAGAATGCAAGAACCTCTAAAATGTAATCTACTCCTAAGATTCTGAAAAATTTTTACCCTTGAGAGCATTTAGAAAGTACAGGCTTTGGACTCTGATCTTAATATATGTATCTCTTTCTTTTTCTTTTTTTTTTTTTTAGTTTTGGGACAAGGTCTAAGTTACCCAGGCTGAACTTGAATTTGCTATCATCCAGCCTCATTTTCCTTCAGTACTGGGATTACAGGCATGTGCCACTATTCCCAGCTGGTTTTAACCAAATATCTTAAAAACAGGAAAAAGAAGAAGAAAGACCACTTAAGATGGGCCACAAAGCCATACATTTAGCAGGACATTGCAGAGCATCCAAGGTGGAGCTAACCCTGAGTGGCCCATAAGCAACTGGGCCTCCCAAGGGCAGATCACGGAGTGGACAGTGTCACTGTGTTATGTCACATCAGTTTTTCATGGTTGTTCCTCCCAGTTGGCGTTGATTGTGGCTCAGCACCGGGATCGTGCCAACGTCTTGTCTGGCGTTAAGATGACAGCCCTAGAAGAGGGCCTGAAGAAGATATTTTTAGCAGCAAAAAAAAAGAAAGGTAAGTTCTATTTGTGCTTAGGAGGAACCAAATTTCAGCTTCTAGAATGGAATGTGACTTTTAAAGGGAGGTGAGAAATGCCAAGACCCTGCTCAGTTTGCATGCCAAAGTTAAACACCAGAAGTAACAGCCACGTCATTTGTATCTGTGTAGCCTTTTTCCTTTTTAAGTCGCTTTTGTATCTGTTACCTCTGTGAACTATGTCCATCCACTGGGTATTTTTACCATGATTTATAGATGAGGATGCAGAGGACTAGAGATGCAGTAACTTGGCCGTGTATGGCTGGGAAGTGCTGTTTATTATACCTTCTGTTAGAGTCATAGTCCCCCATAACAGACAAATCTCTGTCAAAAAATTTAGTTTTGTTTCCAAACCTAGTATATTGCTTGGCTTATTTGAGAATCTTCACTTAATTATAGCTGCACTACCAGTCATATTCTATTTCCATTGTACATAACTTATTTCAGTGGGTCCTCATGCTCAACCGAGTAACTTTTCCTTTTCCCAACCTCTCCTCAGAATATTTTTGACATTACATAATTTCAATGGAACAGTCACTTTTCTCCTGTCTATATTTTCTACTCATTAATCAACTTTAGATGAGTGAAGAGGTTGTGATCTGTTACTTTCTTTTTAATAGCAAGTGTTCATCTTCCACGCATTGGGCACGCTACGAAGGGTTTTAACTGGTATGGCACTGAGCGTCTTATTAGGAAACATTTGGCTGCAAGAGGCATCCCAACTTACATGTATCCTTTTGTAGTATTAATACTTTGTTCTTAAAACTGAAGAAGGAAAATCTGTTGTATTTTCTGGTGTTGCTGGCTAATCCACAGTCAGGTTCTCTCCTTCACATTCTTTACTCTGCCCCCCTTCAATGAGACAAAAATTAAGAAGCACATTCTAACTTGTGTATGTCTAGTGTGTACACCCAAGGAGATAAATACACCCAAATATTCTGGATGTCAAGAGAAAGATTAAAAGTCAGGTGTGTTGGTGCACACCTGTAATCCCAGAACTCGGGAGGCTGAGGCAGGAGGATCGCTGTGAGTTCAAGACCAGCCTTCGCTACATAGTGAGTTCCAGGTCAGTCTCAACTACATAGTGAGACCTTGTCTAAAAAAACAAAAAACAAAAAACAAAATCCAAACAAGAGAAAGACTAAAATATGAAGGGGGGAATTTACTAAACAATTGCCATTTGGTAGCATGTTTTTTTCTTACCACTTCTCTAGGGATCCTTCAGATCTGTGCACCAGGGACAGATTCTAAGAACTTTACACTGTTTAGTAAAATAAACAAGTGCACTATTTTATTTTTGGAACCTCTTGATATTCTTTGAAGCTGTGTGAAATTTATTGTGACCATGAAGTCATAATTTAGCTAGGTTATATTTTTTTCTCATGCCCTCCTTGCTATATGTTAGCATGTTTGAACTATTATACTGCATCCACATTTCACTAGAAGAAGCTGAATTAACCTCCAACTGCTATAATTGTGCACAAACTCCATCTTTTTACTTAGATCCTTGCTGAAATTAGTTCACTCAGTGATAGCCTTCAGGCTACTTAAATCACTATTTAAAAAAAAACAGCTTAGCAAAGTCATGTTTTATGTACTTGAATAGTTCAAGCAGAATCAAGAGTTTTAGTACAACTCATTACATGAGCAGCAATTAGTGCTAACAATAGTGGAAGTGTTTTATGATATGGAAAAAAGAAATTAAGGTATACTACTTTCAACATGGCTATTTAATGATTAACTAGGGAACTAGTAGTTTGGGTAATGTTGAGTTTAAAGTTGAAATATATTTTTCTTGACCATCCTTACCAGATATTACTTTCCTAGAAGCAAGGGATCTATTCATTCACAGTCCCCATCTTCCTCCTCAACATAACTGGTGCCTTAACAATTGCCCTAATACTAAATCTGGTCTTTAGCAACCAACTAGTAAGCTATTTACTCAGTGTAACTGTCAGAGTACTTGAAAAACAATCAGGATCTGGTGGATCTCTGAGATAGTCTATTTTCTGAATTTGAACTTTGTTCTCCTGGATGTGTTACTCTGATCTGGTACCTGTAATACAGGGATGCCTTACTTACTGGGGAAAGCCCTTGCCCTTAGTTTGCATAAAAATACATTTTGTTTCTCTAATAGTTTCCTTGTCCTTGTGTTCTTTCCCCTCTATATAGTTTTCTTCCTCACCACCAGACTTTCTTTGCAGAGGAAAGACTTATCTAGACTGAAGAGATACGAGGGTAATAGAACAGGGTGGCTCTGGGAAAAGGAAGCACCTTCAGAAGACTGGACTCAGTAAGCTGCCAAGTAAGATTCTTGATCCAGTCAAGTGGAGTTTCTGCCTTTCTTTTTTGCATTGCCCAACATCAGGGTCCAGAATAAAACCCACTGGCTTAGTGTGATTTCAGTAAAACCCCAAAATCTGCATTCTCTGACCCATCAAATCTAATTCAACTTCAGTACAAGAGTGACTTGTGGAAATGGCATAAAACCAGCACAGAATGACTAGTAGTATTGGAAAAGGCCAAAACCACTAGAGGAGGAGTTGTGGAGGGAGGACTGTGTAAGTTGTGGCTTTTCACATTTCTGTGTGTGAAATCTCATTCTTGGACAACCATCCCAACCAGCCTAATCTCTTCTGCTTTGAGCCTCTCAATACCACAAGGGCTGTCGAGGCTGCTTCAGAAGGTATAGCTCTGGCTTGATGTAGGGAACTCTCTTAGGGAGCACAGAGCTAGTACCATGACCTGAGGAAGGTAGTGCCTTTAGCACTCGAGTTTTATAGTTCTGTTTAGCTCTCTACCCACACCTTCGCCCTTCAGAAGTTTAGCATCTTTGCTGAAGACCTATTAGACCCCAAATTCATGATTCCTTTTTTCCTAAAACTTCTTACAGTGATTCTAACTGCCTTCTATCCACTATTCTTCCCACCAACTTTTAACATATATTTTAAGTCAACTAAAAAACTATAAATATGTATTTATAGAGTACAGTATTATTCCACATATGTATATAGTGTATAATGACCAAATCAGAGTGATTAGCATTTCTGTCTCCCTAGATATCATTTCTTAGTGTTGGGAACTTTCAAACTCCTCTCTAGTTATTTTGAATTGTTATATATTATTGTTGCTCTACTGTTCTATAAAACATTACAGCTACTCCCTGTATCCCATAGTATTTTAGTACTCATTGTCTATCCTTTTTAAAGCCTCACTCTTCCTCATCTTGCTAGCCTCTGTTCTACTATTTTTCATTTTTCAGTACCAGGAATTAAACTCAGGACCATGTGCCAGACAGGTGCAGTGCCACTAAGCTACATCCCAGCCCTTGTTCTGCCATTTTTATGTGATCAGCTTTTTTAGCTTTCACAAAAGTGAGAATTGTGTGAATCTGGCTTATCTCACTGAATGTCCTCAGTTCTATTTTTTTTTTTTATTATGCACAAGATTTCATTCATTTTATGGCTTAATAATTTTCCATGTGTATATATACAGTAATACCTTGGTTAACAAACACTTGTTTACAGACAATTTGATTTGTAAACAAAAGCATCTGGCAGAATTTTGATTCGTTCCCAAATTCTGCATCGGATGACAAATATAACCGATCCTAAGCCATTGGCTCTTCCGTATCTTACCTACCTTATTGTCCTGTCATCAGGCTCTGACATCACATAGCTTTCCTCAATCACATAATCCTTTCTCCCATGTCACCCTTGCCCCCATATTTTCTGATAACTGTCAGTACTAACCTTTCAACTCAAAGTACTTGAATATCAAAATCAGACCCCATATTAACTTTATCTACCAGTATTCCCCCTTCAACCTCTTCCTTAGTGTCTAACACTCCTCCCACCCAACCTACCTCATTGCAAAACAACCACAAAAATAAACTGTCATAGTGTGCATAGGAAATAGACAAAGAGGGGGAAGTGAAAGTGGAGCACCTATCTTCATAAAACAAAAACTGCTGAAATTAACAAAAGATCACAAAGAAGGATTTAACTCAGTAGTTCCTTTGTCTGCCTTGAAAGCACAAGGACCTGAGTTCAATCCTCCGTGCCAAAAAAACCAAAACAAAACAAAACAAAAAAACCAGTAATGCAATCTGTAGAGGATTTTATTAACACCCCTGGCTTCACAAAGAGTTAGATCAACTGAACAAAACACCAATAAAGAAATTTCAGAGCTGAGCCACACCCTTGAACATATGGACATAGGGTCTTGATAAGTTCAGGCTAGGCCCAAACTTGTGATCCTTCTGCCTTAACCTCCCAGAGTGCTAGGCTTATAGGTGTGTGCTACTACTCCCAGTTTATAGCAAACTAATTCTTGACAAAGGACACATAAACATACGTTAGAACTTTGAAGGTCAGTCTCTTCAACAAATGGGTGTTAGGGAAACTGGATATCCACACACAGTATATTGAAATGACCCTATCTCTCACCCTGTACAAAAATCAATTCAAAATGGATCAAAGATCTAAGTGTAAAACCTGAAAACTCTGAAACTACTAGAAGAAAACAAGGGAGGTACTTCAAGGTATGGTACAGGCAAATCAAGAAAACAAAAATCAACAAACAGGCTTACATCAAACTTAAAACCTGTACAGCAAAGGAGACAATCAACAGAGTAAAGAGGCAGCTGACAAGATGGGAAAAAATACTTGTCAACTATTTATCTGACAGAGAATACCTAGAATATATAAGAATTTTTTAAAAAAGAGACCAAAACCAAAATAAGCAATTAAAAATGGGCAAATGATATGAATAGACAATTTTCAAAAGAAGAAATACAAAAGGCCAAAAATTATAAAGAATATGCTCAATATCATCATCCATTGGGGAAATGCGTATCAAAACCACCAGCTTCTGCTTGCTTCTCACTAAAATATCAGTAACATTAAGGTGAAGACTTACAGCCACACCAAAAATAGATTGCTAACCAAATGCCACACTATGACAAAGTACAAATGATCCTAGGTATAAGGCAAAGTTTAACTGATTTTATTTCAAAAAGCAAAGATGTCTTAAAACTGAAGGACCTTCACCAACCAGAAAGTGCACAGCCATTCTTTCTGTTCCTGAAGTTCTATAGCCTGACTGGTTTCTCCATAAAAAGAAAACAGAAACAAAAACTCTCATTTTATTTCCTCACCCATCACATCCAAAGCTTTAAAAAATTATCTGTATTTACTGTTTTAATTTCTTTGCTCTCCCCCCTTAATCCGTACCATTTTAACTTTCTATATTATCGCACCAGTAAGAGTCCATGTTAAGAATACCAGTGTCCTTTTCAGTAAATTTATGGAATGATTTTTAGTTCTCATCTTGACATCCAAGTAGTATGATACTGCTGACACTGCATCTTACCTGCTGAAACACTATTGCTTTGGTTTCTTTGACAAGATACTATTCTACAGGGCCGGGGATTTAGCTCAGCGGTTCGGTGGCCTGCCTTGCAAGCGCAAGGACCTGAGTTCAATCCCCAGTACCCCCCACAAAAAAGATACTATTCTACAATGAAATAATCTCCAGGGATCATCAATGTAGCTTCCCACAGACCTGTTGAAATTGTTTGTTTTTCCCCATCACCACTTTCACCTTAGTTCAGGCCACCATTATACTTGTTATGGATAACCATTAGAATCTTTGAACTACTTCCTTGTATTACCTCTATCTCCAATCTGACTGCGTATAGTAGGTAGGCAGTCTCTTCAAAATAAAATCTGATTATGTCATCACTCATCTACAAAAAACTTTAGTTTTTCACTGCTCTTAAAGACCAAATTTTTAACATGACTTTATTATTATTATTTTTTTGACTCTTTGGATGATGATGGACTAAATTAGAAAGGACTTTCTAATGCCTGTCAAGGTGTCAGATTAGCATGAACTCCGTTATGGTTTAGAATTTTCCCCAAGAGCCTCATATGGTCAGAGGTGGGCATTTTGGAAGACAACTGGATCATGGGGATGCTATAGCTGACTTGATGGTAGGAGGTATGTCACTGGGGGCATTACCTGAAAGATATATCTCATCCCTAGTTCCTCCTTTCACTCTCTCCTTCCTTGCTACTATGAAGTGAACAACTTTTCCTTTTCCCAGACTCTTCTACCATGCTTTCTGCCTTGGAGCCAGGGGACTATGGACAATCTTTTAGCCACAATAAGCTTCTCCTTTAAGTTTTGGGTGTCAGTTATTGTATCTCAACCATGGTAAGATGACAGGTTTCTCCAGAATTAGCCCTGGAGGAACTAACAATAGAAGTGTTAAGTGTGAAAATTGTCAACATCAAGGTTGAAGCCACTGTATCAAAACCAAGCAAAATACAGTCAAGAGATAAAAAGGGCCTTCATGCACACATGCATAGACAACTACAACTATTACATTCTATGAAAGGATCTCACCTTCATAGGCTTGTAATCAAAACTCCTATCAAGGACTTTGTAAACTTTGTAACTTGCTACATGAGTCAACAGAACAGCGAGTCAATGCAGAATAACATTTGCCTGACACTGTCTTCATTACTGAACTGATAAGTCCTGTAATAAGTACCTGTAAACACTGTCCTCATCACAAAACAAATTGTGTACTTCCTCCTATTCTCAAAAACTTCCGCTTGCTTTAATATTATTGGAAATGCTTGTGTTCTCCATAGCATGCCTATCTTGAATTTTAATTCCCTGATACTCTCCATTAAACTCCATATTCCTTAGGCTTTCTGTTTGTTATTTAGGTTGAAAAAAAGTTAACACAAACATGAAAAAAAAAAATCAATGAACTGAAGAGCTGATTCTTTGAAAGAACAAATTAGACAAACCCCTTAGCCAATTTAATGAGAAAAAGGGAAAAAAGGACACAGATCAGAAGTGTTATGTACATGCACAATTCTTCACAGTGAATGCGTGCAGTAATCATGTACAACAAACATGGATTAATAAAAATAAAAGATAAAAATTAATGCAAATCAAAATAAAAAAGGAACAAAGGACACAGTCAAAATCCAGAAGATATTAGCAACTGCTTTACAAACCTTTATATCAGTAAACTGGAAAACTTAGAAAATGGATAGATTCCTAAGTACATATAAATGACAACTGAACAAAAAGATAAATCCTAAATAATCCAATAACAGGCAATGAAGTTGAAGCAATAATTTAAACTCTGCCAACTAATAAATGTGCAGGTCCTGATGGATTCTACAAGAACTTCAGGGAATAAACTAATGCCAGTACTCTTTAAACTTTAATGAAATGGAAAGAGGAGTATTCTCTAAGTCATTCCTAGAAGCTAACATTACC